TTTTTTAATTTATAAATTTATTATAGCCATGGAATTAGACTCCTCGTCTACGCTTATGCTATGACGTTTCTCAGGACGGTTAAATCAAGTCCGTTTACACCCACTAAAAAAGCATTTCCCTATTCTCTACCAAGTGCAAAAGACAGAGATAGAATATAGATCGACGTTCAGTGTAACTCAGTCTATAGACGATTATAGATTCTATCGATGTGCGTAGCTAGCGGCACAAAGATAAATAATATTGAACCGTATAAAAATCATTTTATATTTTATACGCATTATGTTTTTATGTTATGTCTGAATTACTCTCTATAATTTCTACCGCGGCATGAAGGGAGAGATTCTAATATCGGACGGCCAATAGCCGCTAATTGTAAAGTGTTTCGTGATAATTATATGGCTGCTCAATAAAGTGCAGTCAGTTTTATACTCATTTTAAATTCACTTAGTTATAAATTGCTTATAATTATTTGATGAGATAACAAATTCCAAGGAATAACTGCAATGCTCAGAATTACGAAACTCGAGATTTTTCGAGAATGCCATGAATAAACAAATTTATATGTGTAATGTAATGTGTGTATATATAAGTTCTTTTAATTTATGTATGAATGGGAAATATATTAATTTTCTGTTGGGGGTATGTCTTTATGTTCTTTACAGATTGCATGTCTGAATTTTGATAATTATAAGGAAAAAATGAAAGTAAGTGGTATAGAATGATATGTGAATTCAGTAGAGTATACATATTTAATTTTGCAAAAAGAAACAATTTAAATAAAAAATTTCCTTGTAAAAATAGGTATTTGGAAGAAAAATACTTGAGGTACAATAATTATAGGAAATAAAGAATTTACATATACCCAAAATTCAAATATCAATATTATAAAAATTCCACCAAGGAAATTTTAGCTATAAATGTAAGAAAACGATTTAACATAATTTCGATTGTATCTAGAATATGATTTGTATGTCGAAAAGGTAACGAAAATATACAGCCGAAGCTTTATCTAGAATTATAACATCTGATGAACTAAAAAATGTTAATGAAGTGAGTTATAATTAGGACGCACTCAAACAAAATGTACACCCAAAAACACAGACAATACAGCTTATCGCCACAGACTACGTGTTAAATGCTGGAAATCGGTAACCCGAAAAGGATGCAGGCTTTTGTTAGACGGCATCCATCAATAAAATTTAGCGTGGCAACTCTTCTACTTGGTATTGTGTTTATGAAGATTGTTGAAACCGTATAAAAACTAAAAGTCGGCATCTCTGTATTGTGCAAGTCGGTATCTCTTTATTGTGCCCGCCCACTAAACATTTTTCAGTTTCTGAGATGTTTCAGAAAAGTTTCCATTTTTCTCGAAACGTTTCATAAAAAATCCATGCAACGTTCTGGTAACGTTCTAGAAACCCAAGATGTCCTCAAAATACGTTTTCAATTAAACGTTTAAAAAAATTGGTTTCAGTAACATTCTTTTTATGTTCCATTTATGCCCTCGATATTTTTGTTTTACGTTTCAGTATATTTTCAGAAATGTTTGAGTAATTTACTTATTTTTTTTCTTACCATATAGTTCTCATAATGCTCTCAACTTTAGATCATTTTCATTTCAAAAGCGTTTTTGAAATAGTATAAACAGTGTGAGTAGGTATTTTTTTAAATATCCCTAATACTCTTTTGTGATATTTTTATTTGTATTGTGAATGACTTAATTCGAACTAAAAAAAGTTACATTGTATTAAAAAAATTAAATATGCTCTTCTAGTTTGGGGATGCGGCAACTTTTACCAAGAATTTATTTCTTTTTGACAAGCCACTGAAGAAAAGGTTTCTAATATGGATTACGAATTTTGCCATTCATCGTACAAATAAAAATGTCACAAAACAATATCGGAAGCATTTTAAAAAAGCTACACATTTTATATTGTTCAAATAAGCTTCTGAAATGGAAATTTTCTAATGTTGAGACCATCATGAATATGGTAACAATGACGAACTGATAATTAGAAAAAGTTAGTTATGATTATGAATCTTGAAGGTACATGAAAAACAAATAACATTACTGAAAAATAATATAAAGTTACAATCTCTTCTACGCATGGTCAATATTACATCTATCCTTTTAATAATAATAAATTATATACAGCAGAAATAAGGATACAAAATGATATCTTGACAAAGTGAATATCTGTAGGTATACCTAAACTCTTTTATTTAAGCATGCCTATACACATAAACAAATATAAACATTTGTACAAAATATAAAATAAATGATGTCTATTTCACTTGATTCATCCATATTTCAAATAGTTCTCACTGAGTAAGTAGTTGCTCTTCAAATGATATCGAAACGTATGGTTGTTGTTCCATTTTCTTAGTTCTTGTCTTTAGGTAGATGTGACGCAAAATTGGAAATCTCTACACATATAGTTTTAAACATTCTGCATCAATATTTTTTATGCGCCTTACAATAACCACGACTGCACACACTACAAATTATCACATAAAATAGCGTCAAAGTAAAGATGAAGAACAACGAAACCAAGCAAACAGGCAAACCGCAAACCTAACCTAATACGAATTGAAACGACACATGGGAAACAAATAAACTCGGGTTGTTACGCGCAGTCTACGCAAGTCACGAACATACATTTTTTCTATACTTGTGTTTTAAATATGCTACAATTTTTTTTTCTGATTATGTCTTTGTATAACAAAGGCAAATGAATTAACGCTTGAGAGGCATTGGGGATTGAGAGCAAAATTTAACTAACGCCGAATGTTTCATAAGATAAGCAAAAATAGCAAAGGGTTGTTCGTCTGTTATGTTTCCGAGATCGAAAGGGAATGTTTCGAGTAATGTTTCAAACTCTCTTCAATTGGAACGTTTCGGCTATGTTTCACTAAATAAGTTTCCAAGTGCTACATTTCTGTAATGAAACAGAAACGTTTCTAGTTAATGTTTCAAATGTTTAGTAAAACATCTCATTTGCAAGGTTTCATTTACGTTTCGTGTTTAGTGGGCGGGCACACAGTGGAGTACCCGAGCGGCACGGCGCGTAAGTCAAAATGTATATTGTTAATAGGTAAAATAATACGCATTGCAATGTAATTACACCAAATAACTCCTCAGTATTTTGTCAAGGGATGTTTAAAGGTTACTTTTAAATTTTAGTAACATCAAAAATTTGATTTTTTGTTATTGTTTTTGAGTTTTGAAAATTACCGTTTTTGCATTTTTTCGTACTTTAAATTGTATATAACTCGGAAAACGTTGTTTTAGGAGCATAATGCATATGAACTATTTTGTTTAGAATACCCCAAAATCCCTAAAAAAACTTTGTCCGTAGCAAAACAAGTAATTTTTGCAATTTGTTTAAAAAATTAGTTTAAACAAATTGTGACCAGGTCACCGGCCGGTAACATTTTGATCCTCATTCAGGGACATCTCACGGAGGTGATTATGCAAAAAAAAAAACGAATCCACTACTTTTTTCATACAAAGCCGCCAATTTCGCCTTGTCTATTAGCCTGTGTCAAACTTTTTAAATTGGATGAGTATATTATAAATAGTAGTAGATTCTACACAAATCTGTATGGAACATCACATTACGTCTAGAGTATCAGAATACGAATCACCAACTTCGACATTAAACTTTCTTCCTTACAAATATATATTCTTCTCTATCTATGCTTTCTTATTCAGTGAAGCAATTTCCGACGAATACCACAATGATCAAGTTCTGTAAGCAACTTTCTAATAGAAAGTTTATCAAAAGCCTTGCTAAAACCAATAATAAGATATTAACTGACTGAAGTGATCAATCATCGAGATAATGAAGAAGGTTGGTGGTAGTAGATTTGCCTGGAAGAAAACCATGTTGATATACAGAAGTAACCTTGTTATCAAGCAAACATTTTTGGAAGTCATTGACAATGATTCTTTCCATAATTTTACGCTCAGTTGCATTAAGGGTAATTTGTCGTTAGTTCTCATTTGTAAACTTATTACCCTTTTTAAATATTAGTATAACAGATGCTACTTTCCAAGCATTGGGAAGTGGACTTTCCAATCACTTCTGGATAATTATAAAAAGTGGCAAAGCCAAGGAAAATGAACATTTCTTCAAGACATGTATGTAAGCCACCAGTGGCGGCTCTTGACTTCCATACCAGGGAGAGCGGAAAAGTTTAGGTACAAAGTATTGAAAAAAAAAAAAAATCAAATATAATTGGGCAGTTTTATTTTAAATACTATTGAAATATAAGGAAAATGTACTCAACATTATTTTTTATAGTTAAAGTCCGTTCTGCTTTTGTCCAAAATACTTTTTAATTACTTATCTTTATAGTTCAGTATTTCTCGCACCATTAATTTTTGCAAGTGCAAGTGTTGGCCATCAATTAAACCTATATAATCGGTTCTAAAAAATGATATAGGTTAAACACTTCATTATCGAAATGTAACTACTTTCATTTTTGCAAGTCGTTAATGAGGTGAGGCGACATTTTATTGATATGAAATAAAAGAGCATTTTTTTTGTTAAATATCTGCAGATTCTAAATACCACAAATTTTTGTTTTATTTTAAATAGTACTGTTTCATTTATATATGAATACCCGTGAATTTTTTTTGAATTTAACTAAAACTATGCCTGATGTCCAGGAATCATGCGGAAAATTAGAAAACACTATTTATGTTCGGAGATAATTTTTTGAAAAGGTATATATGGCCAAAATCTGTCATGTTTCCCTGAACAAACTCCCCTACTTTTTTATGGAGCCATATGAAGTGTCTGGTTTATGAGACCCCTGACAAGTCTGAAGACCTGTTAACACTTATTTTGGCTGCAATACAAGAAATCCATAAAATATTTCACATTTTCAATAGAGCATGTCAAAATATGATGCATTTCAGGTGGTGATCTTCATATCCAGCAATTGTAACCACTTCTACATCCAACTCAAAAACAGTAAGTGTTGTGGTTTCACTATAACATTGTTACTATATTTACATTAATTTTAAAATATATAAAATAAATTAATATTTTCATTACTTAGTTGCAACATGGTTGTTTATTTTTAATGCATTCAAATAATCAATTACGTATTTTTGTGTCGGAAATGTTTTTCGTTATCAGTTTATCAGTCAGTTTATTCGATAGGCAGTAAGACTTGACATAAAGATGAGTGTGTGCGTATTCTGACCAATTTCCTACTCCACATGCATTTTAAAGAAGCCGCTATCAAATTCAAGATACCCAGGGCCCTTCAAGAAGAGAATAAGTTATAACAGTGGTAAGCCATTTCCAACCATCGTTTTTTTTTCTATGAACTTTACACATTCATACAGTCCACTACTTTTAAATAACCAGTGAGTGTCCGGATAGGAGTTTTTTATTAAAAGTTAGTTAATTTTTATTTTCCAACATACCCTATTTTGTAATACGTATTCATTAACACCCTATAAATTTACAAAACAAAATTAAAAAGATTTGATTACAAATGTTAATAAACATTTTACAGAAAATAAGGTTGGGATTTAACATGCCGGATTTTTATATACAGGGTTGGAAAGTACCGATGGTCCATCTGCCGTTACGTGAGAGCGATAAAGTAAGTCGTAGAAATCCGTGCGATAGAGAAAGATGGCTATAATGAAGGCGTGTAATAGTCACCGCCCATTTGGCCCTTCCACAAATAAGAAGAGGATCTTATTTGGGGAAGGGCGAAACGGGCACTGACTATGAGACGCCTTCATTATAGCCATCCTTCTCTATCACATGGATTTCTATGTCTTACTTTATCGCTCTCATGTAACGGCAGATGGACCATTGGTACTTTCCAAACCTGTGCACATATTTTTAGAACTATGTCTAGATTTCAACTTTCTTCTTGAAAAAGTTAAAATATCTTAAAAACAATTTTTAATCCTTCAAAATTTATGTTCTAAAAAAATTTCTTATAGTAAGTAAATATTAATTGTACGTAAATCCTTACAAATTATTAAATATGGAGTAATCCTGTGCCCAACTTTGAAAATTTGTTCTTTATATAGCACTTTTTAGGTCTCCTTTTCGGTCTACATGTAGCACTGAATCACTCATTTTGTTTAAAAAACAAGCACTATTCTAGTTTTAAAGTCACATTTGCACTCATACTTTTCAAACAAGAATTAAAAATACCTCTTTTCTAAAGTTTCTTTCACAATACTGTGTGCAAAATTTTGCAAATCAACGCTGGACGAACTTGGACTCGATGTTTCACTTACAATATTAGTTTTGCCCTTGGTTATGTTAGACCATCGAGACTTGATGATACTTTGAATGTCCTGAGTATTTTTGTCGCCCTCTTTTTCATTTTTAGAATCGTCGACGGAGATCTCGCCTATATTGTTTTCTGCATAAGATGACAGAGTCAAATCTGAGACTTTAGTTGATTCAATACATGAATTAGTTGTGCCACTGTCACTAGTATTTGAAGAAGTTGACTGCTCTGTAACATTCCGCCAAGAAGTTGTTTCCAATCCCTCCGTATTATTTTCATGCATTTCTATGATATTCTTAGCAACCTCATTAGTATAACTGACTGAAGATACTTCTTGTGTATGTTTTTCTTTTAAATGATTTTCAGGGTTTTCCTTTCTTGTATCATCTGCCTTAAGCCGATTTAATTTGAATAAAAGGTTTGATATCCCGTTCTTCCAGGTCTTCATTACTCTCTTTTCATCAATATTATTAGCATTCAAAGTACAATTACTATCATCAGGAATACCATCTATACATTTTTCAGAAGACTTTGAAGTTTTGCCATCCTTTTGTTGTTCGTCTAATTTTTTTTGTCCTGTTATGTTACTGTCTTCATCATTCACCCCAGTATTAGATTCTTCTATAATCAAAGAGTTTGATCTTGTATCATCTTCCTTAAGATGATTTAATTTGAATAAAATTTTTGATATCCCACCCTTCCGGATCTTCAATACTCTTTTTTGATCAATATTATTAGCATCCAGAGTATCATTACTATCATCAGGAATACCATCTACGTCTTTGTCTATTAGGTATGAATCATTATCTAAGATATCTTTGTCAGAAAGCTTAGAATTGTTGCTATCCTTCCCTTCTTTCTCTGTATGACGTGAAACCATTTGCTCTTTTCTGCTATTTTCATCACTTTCAGAAATGCCTTCTACATCTTTAGATGTTAAGCAGGCAGCATTCCCTATACCTTCTTCACAAGGCTTAGAATGTTTGTCATTGTTCTCTTCTTTATTTAGATTGTGTGGAGCACTTTTGACTTTTATTTTATCATCTTCGGAAAGACCTTCTACTTTAGCTATTAGGCAGGCATCTTTCTCTATAACTTCTTCAGAAAGTTTAGACTTTTTGTCACCCTTCTTTTCTTTATCTAATATGTTATGTGGTGCATTCTCTTTTATTTTATTATTATTTGCAGAAATACTTTGTATGTCTTTAGTTATTAGGTATGCATTACCTATATATTTTTCAGAAGGCTTTGAATTTTTGCCATCCTTTTGTTGTTGATCTAAATTTTTCTGTTTTATTATGTTACTGTCTTCGTCATACACCCCAGTATTAATTTTTTCTGTAATCAAAGAGTTTGGTTCATTTAGAAGAGGCTCTTCCCTTATTAACAATTCATGGTCAAGATTTTGGTCACTTAATATATTATCCTTGAAGATTCTTTCTTTCCAACTGTTAATAGGTATTTCTTCAAATAAATTAAATTCCTTGTTGATCCAATCGTTGTCACTGCCATCTTTTATATCTATTGAATTTAATGAATTAATTAGTTGCTTCACCTCGGCAGCAATCTGTCCCATTTCATCAGTCATCGTTTTGTTTTCTTGCACCTTCTTTTGAAGTGTGCGCGGTTTTGATTTTAGACTTATTGATTTTTCTTCTGTATCCACAATATTCTTCATTATCTTGATATTATGGGATTTAGCTTTAATTTTTGCTTTCCTTTTTTTGTTTCCTATAAATTTAGAATCTTTACATTTTCTGGAACGTGTTGATTTTTTTGACACTTTCCCTAGAACATTTATTGTTTTTATTAATGGAGATTTCTGTATTTGTAATTCAAGTTTAGGCGGTTCATCCGCAATATTTCGTAGTGAACCTTTTCCACACTCTGTTTCTTTTTCAAGTTGAGGCATACAATCTGAAACCGTCAGGAAAACATTTTTTGATTCAATGGGGGATGTTTCTTGCAGAATATTTTCTAATTTTTCATTTTCATTACTTGTAGTTGCTAGTTTAAATATTTCGTCAACAATATTGTAATCTTTTCTTCTTAAAATTGTGTCAATTTTTGGAATAACAACTGTTAGTTCTTGCATATTTGGCACACTATCAGCTTTGTCCAAGTTTGTTATACAATTAATACCACATATTGCTCTATTTTTCCTTTGCCTCTTTCTCTTATTTACAGAAGCAACTGATTTCACTTTGTTGATATGACCATGGGAAACCTCTTTATTAAGTGATTTTTCACAACTTTTCTTCACTGGTCCCTTATTTTTAACCATACTTTCTGATTGATTTAATAGAAGATTTTGTTTATTGTTCAGCAAATTACCTACTTCACGTTCTGGTTCTTCATCATTGTATTTCATATGTTTCACATTGAACTGTTTACTAATCTCTTTTACTTTAAATAAAGTATCAAATAAATTTGTTTTCCACTTTTGTGGTGGTTGAGAATTCTTACTTATTTCAGTAATATTATCAAACATTTTATTGTTATTAACTTTGGTTATTACCTTCATTTGTAAGTTATTCTGTTTCTGTTTCAGGATCTTTCTGTTCCAATAAAAATTTTCAGGAACTGGGCACCTCTTCACAGTAATATAAAAATCTTTCAAGTTTAATTGTTTATATTGAAGATCCTCTAAAATGCAATTATCATTTAATTTGACAGTTCGAATTTCATCATTTGTACTGTTTCCTGATTGTTTATCACTAAGTTTAGTTGAAGTAACATTTTGCTGTGAGGCTGGTACTGTTGTTTCATTCTCATTTTTCATTCGGTTAGTAAAATCGATTTCAATATTCGTATTTGGTACATGAATTGATTTAATTCGTTGTACTTTTAATAATGTTTCTAAAATATCTACATTCCAGTGCGTCATTTTTGTAAGTTTATTAGCAATATGACTGGTTTCTAAAATCACACCCGGTTTAAATTCTACAGGTATATCACACCTTAGAATGGATATATATAAATCTTTTAGATTTAGTGATTGATATTGATCTTTTATGCTTTTTGGCATATTTTCTTTACTCGAAAGACGGTCACCACTAAAACTATGATTCATTAAATCAGATCCTATCTTTCTTCTAGAATTGTCTAATGTTTGTAGTACAGTTTCATTATCACTGTTCATCATATCCACATATTCATTACTTTCAATAGAATCAGTTCCAAGGTTGAAAAAGCTCTCAGCACTTACATAAGCAAATGCGTTTCCATCATTGCTCTCTGGCGTAATTTTGTTTTTTAAAACATTTGTTTTTTTTATTATTTTTTCATTTGCTATTTTATTCTCCCTCAATTTGACTGATGTTGATGATACACATTCCTTAATTTGTTTAATTTTTGTAATTTTATCATTGCTTGTGTTTAATACTTGGTCAGTATTTGAGTTCTGTATGTTTTGTTTGATAGCCTGATTGTTTTCATGAAATTCTCTTGGTACTGAACATCTCTCCAAGGAAATATAGAACTCCTTGAGGTTTAGCCATTTGAACTGATTTATATATTCCCTGTTTTCTTTACTTACAAAAAGGTTTTTATCAGCTATTTTAACAGTTATTATTTCTTCTCTGGTTTTAGGTTCAGTAAAATCATCATCACCACTATCGTTATTAATATTTTCAATATCTATATATTCACATTTTTCATTGTCCTCACAATCATTACTACTAGACTGGTTAATGAAATCAGTATCATTTGTTTTATGGACCATTTCTAACGTAGAGTTGTTCTTAGCACATGTGTCTTGTTGTTTCACAAAATTTAAATTTGGAAAGTTCTTAACATCAAATAAAAGGTTCTTTCTAAGATTATCCTTTTTAAACAGTTTGCTGAGTGAGGGGTATCTGTTTATCATTTTTTTGGAAAAAGTGTCAGTTTTATGGAATATGGTTTTCCCCTTCTGTCGGTTCTTTGTGAAAAGATTTTTACGTTTCTTTTTCAGACGTTTAAATCTTAACACCTTCTCTACTGATTTATGCTTGGTTTTGTAGTGACAATTGAGAAGTCGTTTTGTTGTGAATATTTCACTACAGTAATTACATACTTCAACATTAACTGTTTCGTTTACTTGAATTAACGATCCATCTTCATTTTTTGTGTCTTTTAAGCTTTCATACCCCATCAATTCCCTTATAGCAGTGGTGGGAACCTTATAATAGTATTTTATCAGTTCAAGCCTTCTCCTCTTTGCAACTGGACTGAGCTCGGATTCGTCAGAAGTATATTCCCTTAATCGCTTATTTTCCTCAATGATCTAAAAGTATATATAAATTAATACAAAAATAAAACTCTCTTTCACATTAATAGATTTTTTAATCTCATATTTTAAAAAAAGTTCTGTTTACTTATATGAGCCTTGACAACTATATCTGCAGATACCCATAATTTTCTGACAGAAACAAGGTTATAATTATAAGCAATGATAACGGATCAATAAACTTTAAGTTTAAGGCCCGGTACTTTGAGTCTCGGTTAAAGATTGGTTAACTGATCAGGCGATTAGACTTTACATATACTGATTTATTTTATAAAGTATAATCATAGTCTAATCGCCTGATTAGTTAATCAAACCTTAACCGAGACTCAAAGTACTGGGCCTAAGTGTAGCAATCACACACTGGGAAGACCACAAAATGAAAAATAAACATTATTTTGCTGGCAACCAAAAGTTCGGACATGTTCATAATTTCTCATATGAACACGTTGAAGGGCGATGGCAATTTAAAAAAAAATGGAATTTTAAACAGTACAGTTTTACAATATGTGAGTTGTAGTTTTATATCATTCCTGGCACAAAAAACAAACAAAACAAATATTTTTACCATTTTTTTTACTTCTTTTTGTGACGCAGATCAGCGTTCCGTTCAAGTTGACAGGATTCGTTTACACAAATTCAACACATCGCTGATAGGCGACCGACACTGTGCAGCGTAGTGACATAATATAAATAAAATGTTTAGATTTTCTGCAGATGCTGATCTGCGTCCAATTAAATGTTGGTATTTTTGTATAAAAAAATTAAACAAGTATTTCAGATAATAACCATTTTATTTTAAACAATTTAGATAATATTATGATACTATTTTAGTTTTGGTTAGAATGCCACTCTTCGAAACAGTCAGGACATAAGGCTGGCTTTTCTGGACACCCACTACACCTGTAGCTGGTCTCTTTACGAATCAATTTTTTGGGACACATTTTGCATTTTAGAAAAACCGATTTCTTTTTAGACTTGGCTCCAGGAGTGCCGGGACTTTTCTCAGGCCAGTGATCCAAGTTTTTCTATTCGTAGCAGTCGATTCCAGACATATGGTTATTGTACGTACTGACTTCTTCAGGTTTAATTTTTTCTTTCCCAAATCTGTTTTTTACAGTTATCAGGCGTGGGTGGTTACGTGTGGTTATAACAAGTACATCTCGTTTGTCTTTCCATTTGGAAATGTAAATTTGATTTTGTCAAACCCAAACCCCCGTTTATTTTTTTTTTAAATAAGCTCTGGGATTCCCTGTTCCGTTTGATCCGAGTGTTCCATTTGTGTGTCTTTAAGCGTAGTAGTTTGTTAGATAGTTCAAAACTATTATAATAGTTGTCCATATATAATTCATGTCCCTTTAAGAGGTAGGGTCTCATCAAGTGTAATACTAAAGCCCCAACTTTATTATTGTTTAAGTCATCATTGGTTGTCACGCCACTATACATTTCCATATTCAGGAGGTAGCAATCAGAGGTAGTAAGCTCAACAATTTTTATGCCATACCGAGATTTTTTGCTTTTGATGTAAACCCTAAAGCCAAATCTACCTCGAAAATGTAATAAGCTTTCATCAAGTGAAAGTTCCTTATTTGGACCACATTGCGTAATAATCATATCTATTATAGGTTGTACTTTATCTTTACTTTTTGTTTGGGGAGGAGAGCAGTATAAAACCCTAAGTAACTGTTTAAAGCGCCTTCCTGATATTACGTAACCAAATTTTGGGTGAAAGTAAAGTACATGTTTGTGTGAAAAATAGCGACGCATATTTTACATAGATATTTGACCTTGTAGCAGACATAGGCCTAGAAACTGTTTCATCTCATCAACTGTAACAGAACAAAAAGTTGCATTTCTAGATCTCCTTGTTTTTGGTTTGGAACCAGCTACCAAAGTTGCATCATAGTTATTTGTACATTTAGCAACATAGTCCAATATGTTAGGGGTAAAAAAAAGTTCAAACACGTCCAGTGGATTTGAATTAAGATCAATGTTTACTTTGATGCCATTGGTACATGCATCAAAATGGAAATCGGAAATGGGAGTTGTAGTTACCCATTCCTCTTCTGTTTCTTTCATAAGTGGCTCAGATTCTGGTAAATTTTTGGTTTCTGGTTCAGGACGATTGTTTAGTAAATAGTTTGTTTTTTTCTGTTCTGTTGAGTGTTGATCCTCTGCTGTTGATGAAGTTGACTCGAGAGACTCATCCTCTGGCACATAATCTTTATCAGACCCATATTCACTGGCAACGTCTTCATATGGGCCATTCTCCTCATCTTTATCAGTGGAAACCTCATCAAAAAGCCGAGTTAGTCTTTCCACATCCTTTTCATAGGGATCCATCTAAAATAAGAATATATGATTTCTATATCTGCCTATTTCTTTTTTTTTGGGTTAGTAAATCTTGGTTTAAAAATTATGGGGACAACTACTGACAAATATAATACAAAATAAAATAGAACATAATAAAAAACGGAGTTTTACATACCTTTTTTTACGAGAAAACAGAGGAGAAATTATAAAAAAGTAAGCACGTATTACAACAGAACGTGTCACTACTTCCACACTAAAATATGACACTAATTTGCCTTTATCTTATTCATTTGTGACACTGGATTTAATGCTATAAGTAATTTATATGTAAGTCCCGACGCTGCATGGCATACTGTCACAAAGATGGAAATTTTTGGCGCCGTACAGCGTTGTGCCACTAATAAATAAATATGACATGATGCCGTACAGCGTTATCGCTCTTCAACATATTAACATATGACATGTCCCACATCGTTTCTACAATACCAATGTCTGGAAATGAGAAAGCGGATGAACTTGCTAGGAAGGGATCCGAAACAGAGTTCATTTGCCCGGAGCCCTTCTGTGGCACATCTCCCAGTGTGGTCAGGCGGGCTCTGGGCAAATGGACCGTGACAGAACACAGGAAATACTGGACTTCAAGGCCAGGACATAGCCATTCTAAGGAGCTAATGGAGTATCCTTCGAAGGGAATAGCGAATGAGCTACTGAGCTTGAATAGAATCCGGCTCAGGAGAGTGACAGGACTCATAACGGGACACTGTCACTTTACATAAACTAAAGCTTGTAGACAGTCCGGTCTGCCGAGGATGTGAATCGGCGGATGAAACTTCTCTGCATATCCTGGGCGAGTGCCCGGGATTTGCACGTAGCAGAATGGCGCTCCTTGGGAGACCCTATTTGGAACCCAAGGAACTGAGAGAAGTGTCAGCAAGGAAGCTTTTGGACTTTGTAAAAAGGACAAATCTACTTGCTGAATAGGACTAGTAGTGGGACGCACAATAGGCCTAATTAGGCCGCAGTGCTATGGGACTTTTAAAGGACCAACCACTAGATGAAGAAGAAGAATGTCTGGATTACTTTATGGTTGGTCCAAAACTGGTACATTATTGAATTGAAGCATTTTGCACCCACTGCTGGAAGTGAACCTGAAATTCACCGACTGAGTAACGGCTTCAGAATGTATATGATGAAACGGCTTGAAAACTTTACAGTTAATTGATGGAACCATTAAAATACTGATGAAGCACCTTCTGCCTGATTTTGAAAAAATATATCCAGATGAAAAAACATTTTCCAACAGAATGATAGATCTTACCGCACACCACACAGTGAGTTCGACTAGAACTTAACTCAAAAACAGTAACACAGTAAAACCTCTGTTAGTGACTACCTGTGTCAAGCGACCACTTCTACATAACGACCGATTTTGGATTGTCTGAATTTACAAATGGAAATCACCTTGTTTTTGGACCCACAATAAAGACCTTCCTCTTAAACGACTGCGGGCATCAATCTATTGAATTTCCCATCATACAACAATGCTAAAACCCCTCCCGTTAAAAGGAAATAAACCTTATAAAAGTAGGTAGAACATTATTTAACTGTAGTGGGGTTTAATTTATTTTTTAAACCAAGGGGTTCTGGTTTTAATTTTATTTCTATATATTTATTTTGAAGTTTTAGGTGTTAATGTAAATATAATCACATACATTTTGAGCATGGCCAGAAAAAGGGAGCATGTTTTTATTAAAGAAAAAATTTATATTACCAACAAAAGTGAAAAAAAAGGTTTAAGTAGTAGGAAATTAGCTTAAAATTTGTTGAGGTAGATATGAGAGGTAAGCAAGACATAAGTGACAATAAAATTATCACCATTTGAATAAATAAGTTAAAAATTTCTATCAATGGCAATGCTGATCAAAAAAGAAAATTTTATAAAACCGATGGGCACGCCATGGACCATCATCTTTAGTTGGTTTTATAAGGCTTGAAATAACCACTTACCAATATTGGGGGCCAATAATTCAAGCAAAAACCCTTGAACTTGCTCAAAGCCTATGTGACTTTAAAATGGGTGGCTAGAAATACCTTCAGAATAATATGTGGTGAATCGGCTGATGTTAATGCTCAAGACGTGAATGCTTGGAAGAAAATATATTAATTGTTTTAAAAGACTACGCCCCAAATGATGTGTTAAATGCAGATGAGAACGACTTTTACTACCATGTGTTGCCAAAAATAAATGACCACTATCCGGAAGAAGAACCGCAAAATTACAAATTACAATTTTGTTCTGTGCAAATAAGAAAGGTGAGGAGCTGCTTATTATAGGAAAAAGCAAAAACCCTCAATGTTTTAAGGGGTGCAGAACGGTAAGTTGCCTCTCCAATGGGTCACTAACAAAAAAAGTGCGGATATAATGATGACATGGCTTCACAAGTTTGATGTCAAGATAGAGAAGCAAAACAGAAAAGTGGTATTGTTTTTGGATAATGCAACATCTCATTTGAAAATTACACTAAACAATGTTAAACTTATTTTTCTTCCACCGAATACAACCTCACACTGTCAACCCTTGGACCAAGGTATAATTCAAAATTTTAAAATAATAATCTTAATTGTACATATTCATACTTAAGTATATGTATACAGGGTGTAAGAAATTTGACTGCCATTACTTCAGCATGAGATAGAGTAATCATAAATGAACAAAAAAGTTGTATATTACAGGGGCGTAAGATTAACAGTTTTCAAAATACAGCGTGTATTAATATTGCGGACTTTCATCACAAAGTGACAACAGTGCTTAACCTGCTCATGCACACCACGTGTACATGCGGCAGGCTTGTCCTGCGGAAAAAATGGAAACAACTATTATTGTGAAACATTTAGTAAATTTCAAGGCAATTGTTTTCCAGTTTTTAAATTAATAAAATAAAATGTATCGATTTTGTAGTACGAAGATAGTGTTGTGCTTAAATTTTAGCTCGAATTTTAATAATTATGAATCTCTTAAAACAGGAACTTAACCTTTAATCATATTATAGATTTGAAAAGTATGTAAGTAAAATACCCAAAGATTCACGTCGTCCAAATAATCATACGTATTAAAAATAATTAAGGTAGGTACTTACTAAAAATCAAAATTCAGTAATTTTTGAAACGCACAAGTACAAAATAACCTATAACATATGCTCAAAATGTCCACCACCACTTTCGATGCACGCACGACACCTTTGCATCCAATTTTCGTGCACTTGCTGGAAAACCCCTCAAAAAAAGGAAATAGTGGTGCGCAAAAAACACTCAGACATGGTTGAATCCAGATACCAACTGAATTGCGTATTGCTGGACACCTCAGTACCTCGTGTTAATAAACCGCCACGCCGTTGTCACATTGCTCGATATGAACTTTAACAAATTTTAAATTTATTACGCTAATTATTATTTTTTATAATTAAGCATAAAGAAGTTCAAAAAACTGATTAACATTGTATGCTATGCACGCAGTTATGTCAATATTCCTTACTTAATCGAACTTTTGTACATCAAGTTGGAGATTTGTTCTCGGAAATAGTCGAGTTTAGGACCGGTGGCGATAAACATTGTATTTTATGGTATTCTATGCACGCAGTTATGTAAATATTCCTTAATTAATCGAACTTTTGTACATCAAGGTGATTTTGAGAATTTTTTTTCTTGGAGATGGTTGAGTTTAGGACCCTTGTCATATAAGGTTTTTCTATTTATTTTAATGTATTCTATCGTCTGTTAAAATTAAAAACAAATAAACCAACGTACATCAATAATAATAATTTTGATTCTTTTAAACGACCTCTCTTTACCAACTATCACCAACTTTTAATTCCCCTAGGATGATCAGTACTAGAAGGTTCTACTTCATAACAATTTTAGACTGACCATCAAGTAGTCCCTGTCTTAAATTACAGAAATGATTTACAATACAAAGAGGATATAAAAGAAGGATATAAAGGAGAATCCACAAAAAAGTCATACTAACCATACACTAAGCTGCAAAAACTTTGAAACAAATTGTTGAGAGACAAATGTCAGAAATTTATGGGAAGCATGTATCAAGGATTTAATGACTATGTTTAAGGCTCGATTTAAGGCAAAAGACAATGTTACATCATAATAGGGTCAACTAACTACTATCCCATTCAAATATTTAATTTTTAGTAAAATATTGTTTACTTTTGAATTAGTAGCTTTCCAAGCGTATAATTGCTAGATAATTATAGTTCTGTGTAAAAATTTTACAGTTTAATTTATCTAAGAACCATTAAAATATTTAGAATCTGTTTTTTTGAGTTATGAATAAATAGTTGATAGATCAATTAAAAAATAAGTCCACTTTTTAAAAAATGGCCCCAATACAAAAAAGTTTTTAGTTCATTGCACTTTTATTTAGTTTTGAATTTAGGAAAGTCATTCAACTTTGAAATGAATAAAGCCTATCACTTTTGTATTTTATAGTATTACAATTAAATCTACTTTATATTCCAAAATTTAAATATAACACATTAACTATTAGTTGAGAGTATAAGCAGATAAAAATGCAGAAAAAAAAGAAATAAGCATTATTTCAAATATGGTTTGAGAGTAATCACTTGTTTTATATTGCTTGTGAATGAATGTTAAATTCTTCTACAAAAACTAAAAACGACTACAAAATTGAAAAAAATAAAATTATGTACATGCATTCTAAAAAAATATTTTAGATACTTTTTAATAATGTTGCATATTAAGAAGTCATATAATAGATTTCGATATTATGAATACTATTACTGCTTCATCAAATTCATTCATTCATTAAATGTACCTATGCAGAAAATACTGTTGCTATGACCGCCTGCTGTTTTTGTAATTTAGATTTATTGCACTAATACAATTCTATCTTGATTCACAACAAATCTCAAGTAGTTCTCGATTTCAGAACCTGAACAAAGCTATCAATATGTAGATGCAACAACTTCTACTGCTCTCTGTTCACAACAAACATTAGAGTCATGTTTTTTTTACAAGTTGCTATAAGTGATAGATGGCAGAATTTCTCTCCAAAAGACTAGGAAAGCACGAAGAGTTATATTTTAAACATAGTCATATCACAATGAAACCTAAATTCTGAATTTAAAACTGTCGGATAAGAGTTTTACATTTTTAAAATTTTTTTCTTTAACTTAATGACCTGTTCGAAAGAACCGGATCTCAATTATTGTGAATGTCATGAACTAAATCGCAGAGAACTGTGAATCGGATCATCGGCTATCATATCTGTATATTGTCTCTTGGCACTAAATATTTCTTAATAGAATCACAGCCGTAATCAGTGAGTCGTTCATTTTGTAAAACTGTATCTTTCATTACTTTATAGACTTCTAAAGGTTCATAAATTTTAATTACTAATTACTTCCAGCTACTTCATATGAAATAGGACATGATAGTTTTTTTTTAATTCAAACTCCAAAAATCACCCATTTTGGCAAACTCGTAATTCGTTAAAAATTTTGTGCTACGTTATTGTATATCATTAGAACGTGTTGCTGAGAAAGTTCCAAGATGAGTTCAGCTTTGGTTTTGGAAATATGAGTGATACATGTCACAATACTTGTGATCTCATGTATTGAGCATATCACTTTAAACCCACTGTTTTTTAGATCATCAAGGTCAAGGTGGTTACTTAGGTTTTCGGAGTCGTTGATTACGAATCTAACAATCTAGTACCACAGGGGGATAATAGGTGACGCATTTGCCTGCAAGAGAGTTGTACTTGAAATAATATAAAGGTTTATGCAATTGGCCGTCCGAGCACTTTTCACTTGGAGTTCCAGCGAGCACCTCTATACCCAGATTACTCTTTCTCCAATAATAGTATAATTAGATTTAGGTATTTTTGCTTACAAGCTTTGATTTAATTAAACTGTTTTTTCTTCTATTCAACCTATATGGTCAATCTTTTTAGATTATTTCCACTCTGCAATTATTTCAGAAAAATGCCTTCTATAATTTGTGTCGGTTATAAAATAAAAAAAATATCAAAAAATGAAAAGTTTTTTAGTGCCAACATTCTGACTTTATCGAATATTAATAATTTACGAATGAAGTATAACCCAAAAAGATGAAGACTTGATAGCATTGCACTGATTTTTAAAATTTTGACCATTAGCTTCGGACCACCATTTTGAATTTTGCAAATCTGACCTCGGATTCGTAATCAACGACCCCGAAAACCCCTGTATACCCAATTTGGTTCAATTTAAAAAATTTTGTCCGCCATATTGGATCCGCCATCTTGAATTTTGTAATTTTGGCTTCAGATTCATAATCAGCAAACCCAAAAACCTAAGTGACCACCTTGACCTTGATGATGGGCCATCTAAAAAACAGTGAAACTTAAAGGTTTAAAGTGATATGCTTGATACATAAGATCATGAGTATTATGACATGTATCACTCATATCTCCAAAACCAAAGCTGAACTCATGTTGGAACTTTCTCAGTAACACGTTCTAATGATATACAATAACTTAGCACAAAATTTTTAACCAATTACGAGTTTGCCAAAATGCCAAGCCAATTTAGTGAACCAGTTCATAGAGATAATTCAGATTCAATGAATTGGATCTTGAAATTGAACCGTTTTGCTTAGATCTACTGGGCACCCTATATTTTAATTTCTTAGTTCGCAAATTTCATTTGAAATTTTTTCATTACGTAAGTTTTCTTCACAAGTCTAGAAATCATCTACTAAGGAACAGTATGGGTCCCGTTCTTATTTATAGAAATATGACTACTTTTTTAACATAATTTTTACAGTTTTCACCAGTCGCCACTGTTCATAGCATGCATGGATACACACAACTACAGTTCGTACAATATTTGTTGAGATGGAATTCCCAGAAAAGAATAAGCCAATAAAGTTCTGTTACTAGAACTACTAATGTAACAATTTACCACAGCAGGAATGTTCCTCGAAATTTTCCATCAATGTCTTTCTACCTCAGGTATTGATTGCAGTTAATTCTAAGAAAGTGGCGCAGGGTCTTCTAGGAATTTTATCTCAATAAATATCGAACGGACTGTAGATTCACAAATTTTGGGAATTTTACTTAATCTCAATAATGTTATACAAACGCTCTGAGACGAGCAATTTTCTTACTTTTAAATGCATTTTGTCCATCCATTTATCATATTCATTTTGGTTATCCAATTTTCCCTCTAAGATCAACTGATTCCTACGATATAATGTTCTATAAGAACCAACATACTGTACAACATTTTCGCACCGGTCACATATAAATTTTGAATAAGGATCATTTACGTCTACCTAAAAATAATCGTGTATTAAAAAAAATTCATATTCGTTTTATAAAAGTGGGGTTAAGTCACTCACTTCTACGCCAAAAATCCAGTAGAGACATTCGGGTAACGTTAATTCCTCACATTTAAACTCCGAATTAATTATGTCGTGTAATGTTTTACTGTTTTTTAAACATAGTCTACACTGCATTATTAAAAAAAACGAAATATATATAAATCACAGATGTAGATGTCGGAAAGATCAGAATCGCAATACTGTATTCCAAGCAAAAACAAAGCCCAAATACCAGCATTACTGGTTGCCTATAATAAGAAGTGCGAAATATTTTAGAGGGTGGTTGCCGAAGTTATTTTGTGAAAAAAAGTTCATATAAACGTAAGTTGAAATATGCTCCGATTTCGAGATACAGAGTGTTTAAATTTTAATTCTTTATTTATTTTTATCAATTTTAAAGATATTGACTTGAAATTTGAAAAACGCTTTGGAGGGATAAATGTGCATTTTTTGGGGTGATTTGGATATTTCTTCTTGCACCAGTGGCGTACGTGCAATAATGCCGCAACCTTTTTTAATAAAAGAAATGGTACGCAACTTTTTCCCGTTTTGATATTTTCTTAGAAATCCACCATCAATTCTGAATGAAATGGGTTTCTTTAATTTTTTTTCGTAGGATACACCGTTTTTGAGGAAAAAATAAAACATATTTTATTGAGGTTTTGTTAATCTTTTATTTAAAGGTGCAAGTAGAAATCTTTGTGTCAACCCAAAAAATGCACATTTACCTTTCCTTCCAAAGCGTTTTTGAAATCTCGAGTCAATATCTTTAAAACTCTTCGGATAATTAATAAAAATAAATAAAAAATTAATATTTAAACACATTTAGAAAACGAAGCATATTTCGACCTACGTTTATATGAACTTTTTTCCATAAAATAATTTCGGCAACCACCCCCTTACATATTTCACTTATTTACAAACACCCTGTATATTACATGGAACCTACTTTCTAGATTTTTATATCGAGTCCACAGTCTATGAGAAGATTCTTCACTCAGGAATAAAGCTATTAGTACCTACTTATTAATAAGTCAATTCTTATTTTATACCTAAGCTACTGATTTTTTATTTTTTGTTACCAAATTTTAAAATAGTGTCTAGAGATAGCGAATCCACTTTGCTTCGGGGGTCCTCGTATGCGAATTTGAACTGATAAGTTAGGTTAGAGTAGGTTAGGTTTTCTCAGAAATCTGGTGGGAATGAGAATGAGTTTCGCAGCCATTTTGAAGTATAAATAAATGTCAGTAGTGTTGGCATTCTCGTGCAAGCGGTCGAACTGAGCGGACGTGTTTATTGTGAAGTGAAGTGCATTGCAACGAGCAAGATCTACCTGCCTTTATTAAGGCTACCTGGAAAGAATCCCTTTCTTTCCTCTTAACCACCGACCTAATCCCCGGCTTAAGCATAGAGGCCGTCGGCATCTTTGTTACAGGTATCTGTGCCGGGGTTATGCCCAGGTAAGTTTTTACTTTATTTATCAGTTATTTGCATTATTTTTGAATACATTTCTTTAAAATTGCGACCCCCGACAAACAATATACCAGACAGACTAATACACCAAAAGACACGTACGCCCCCGTAAGGGGGCATCCCCACACGACTAA